TTTTTTCTAGATTTTCCTCCTTTAAAATTGGGTGCGTCTTATATGCCTAAGCGTCTTATATGCCGAAAAATACGGTAGTTAAAAGTTCAGGGGACCTAAAAATGCCCTCTAAATACCCAAAACTTGCCTCCCAAAGATTTTAGGTAACCTATTGCTCATTCTTGGGCAAAAAGTATAACCCCCCATTTTAGAAGGGCACGGAAAACCTTGGGGTTGGCAAAAATAACCTTGGTAGCCACATGCAACCCATAGGCTACACTTTACCCAGTCTGTTCTAGAGAGAAGCAAACAAGTGCCTGCAGGGATAATAAGGGGATGGGGAAAATTTCCTTCTGTGAACTCCCTTAAATAAATTATCACTGGATCCCAGCCATTAATTTTACTAGGTTAGGAACAGCAAACACTGTGCAACAAATATTGAATTATCTATCATGAGCATCAATATAATATAAATAAATATAAATAAATATAGTATAACAATATAATACCACTAAACAAAACAATATAGACATAAAGCTATAATCCATAATGTAGATGGAAAGAGAAAAGACCACATAAGAGTAACAAGTTTTCTAATAGCATGTTTATTAGCAACCAAATTCAACTCAAATTGCTCATAAGGTGTAAACCTCTCAGTCTATAGTCAAAATTAACATTCTGTTAGAGCCGCACAGAGAGAGTTGTACTAGTTCTGCAGCTGCACATCTAATGACAGCCTTGAGCTTGCAAAGTGCACTACCACTGATTAGTCCTGCACGCGCAAAGTCAAAAGAATGAGGGAGGACTATATGTGTGTATTTGCAGAATGGTCGACTGCACCACTTTTACATAATTTCTTAGAAAGTGCACCCACTAGGACAAAATTTTTTACACTGGCACAATGCCTCAATCAGATTCCACCCCACACACAGTAGTTAAGATGGGCATCCCATCAGTCACGAGGAAAGTATGTAAGTTTGGTTAAAGTCCATCTAGGGTTGCCATATCCCGGTTTTACTGG